CTTCCTTGCCCCCCCATCCCCCCGGCGACGCGCCCCCCCCGCCCTTCCTCCCCCCTTTCCAACCCACCGGGGCCCCCACCGGCGCTTCTCCCGCCTCCCTCCCTCCCTCCTTCCCGGCCTTCTCCGTCGGCGCCTCTCAGACCGCCTACAGTCGCAAGGAGAAGAGCCTGGGATTGCTCTGCGAGAATTTCATCCGCACCTTTGGGCGGGAGGGGGAGGAAGGGACGGAGGCCGGGGCCGAGAACGGGATCTCCCTCGACATGGCGGCAGTCACGTTGAAAGTGGAACGGCGGCGGATCTACGACATCATCAACATCTTGGAGTCGATCGTCTTCGTCGAACGCAAGTGCAAGAACACGTACTATTGGTACGGTGTCAAGTACCTCCGAGACACGTTAAAGCAGCTCCAGGAGGCGGGCTTGAAGCAATGGCCGGAGGACGCGCGCCTGAACGGAGTGGGGAAAGGAGGAGAGGAGGGAGGGCGGATGCTGGGAGTAGTCACGTTCACCTCCAAAGGGGTGGAGGGGTCGGCGGGGGGGGACAGACAAGAGACAGGGAGGGGGGAGGGTGCACGAGAAGGAGGAGGAGGAGGAGGAGGAGGGAGGGGAGGGGGAAGGAGGAAGGGGAAGGGAAGGAGGACGAAACGGACGGAGGCGGAACGGGAGGAGGAGGAACGGAAGGAGAAGTCTCTGGGGCGTTTGACGCAAAAGTTCATCCAGCTATTCTTGGTCGGGTACAGCGTCATCTCGCTGTCCGGGGCGGCCGAGAAACTGTTGGGTGCGAACGCGCAGAATTTGAACGACCGGGGAATGAAAACCAAAGTGAGGCGGCTCTACGACATCGCCAACGTGCTGACTTCCCTCCAACTCATCGCCAAAGTGCACGTCACGGACTCACGGAAGCCGTCCTTCAAGTGGGTGGGGCTCTCCCTGGGGGAAATTTATGCTCTCCCGCCCTTCTCGATCGGGGGCCGCGGGACTTTCCGGGGGTGCCGGGCCTCACGCCCAACCGACGGGAGACGGCGGGGGGGGAAGGGGGGGAAGGAGGGGAGGAGAAACGGAGGGGGCCCAAGGGGGGGAAGGGGGCGGAGGGGGAGAGGGGCCACGGGAAGCGGCGGTACCGAGGCAAGGCACGAGGTTTGCAAGGGGAGAAAGGGGGTGGGAGGGAGGGAAGGAGGGAGGGAAGGAGGGAGGGAA